AAAAAAAAAAAAAAAAAAGAATCTAAAACTTTCATTTACTTATACATAATGAAAATATGTTTGCAGTAGTTATGGACTGCAAGATTCAATTTAGTAATTATAAGAACTACACAAAGCCAATAAGGAAAAATAACATATGCCTATATGTCGCCCAAAACCAGAATATGAAATAAAATGAATGGAATAATTTCAAAAACTTGACATCCTTGACCACATTTGTTAAAGATTTCTCAAAAAAATCTGTACATTGACGATATATTAAAAGTAATTGAATTTATAATTAAGTAGATTATTAAAGCTTTGAAAATTATTATTTGTATATTTACTTATTTTACTATTTAAAATAATTTTAAGTTTTACATTTTAAATAACAAATTCAAACTGCTTACTGATACAATTATCAAATGCAATATGTTTTTGTGCATGAAACTGTATTTTTGTACATGAATCCATATTTTGGCCTTCTTATGTTATTCTATAAACATAGTCCTAATTCATGGATATGAAGAGAGGTTTCTTTTGAACTGGAGATCGAACTCAGGCCCTTGTGCTTGTCAGGAAAGCACTTATTTTACTAAGCTACCTCCCTGGCCCCCGAAGAGAGATTTTTATTTCTTTTAAAATCATGTATGTTGGGCCAGAGAGATAGCTCAGTAGCGTAAATGCCTGCCTGGCAAGTGCAAGGTCCTGAGTTCAATTCTTGATACTGCCAAATGAAAAAAAGAAAAGATTCCTTCATACAGGTTATTTTTCCCAAAATTTTACTGTCAATAAAAATTATCTATAAAAGCCTCAAGTTTATTTTTTTATAGGTGACTAATACCACACTGTATAAAAATAGCACATCTTTTTTTTTTATCCATCCAACAGATGATGTTCTTTTGGGTTGCTTCCAAGATTTAAGATAAAGAGTAAATAAAATTTGAAAGGCACAGTAGATACTGTGAAGGACAAAGAAACTGTTCAGAAGTAAGGAACAACTGGGATGTGGGAAAGGAGAAAAGAATGGAAAGAAATACATACTTATTTACACAGGATAGATTGAATAATTGTACTGCTGATTTCTGCTGGTCCATCAAAATAAACAGTTAGTGCTTAAATTTTATTTTTCTCTCTCCTTTTAAAATTTTTTACATTTTGGACCAATTCTTAAAGCTTACATCTGATAATCTGAGCAACGCATTTGAAATCAACAATATCCAATATAACAACCATTATTAGAATTTGTATTATTTTGTTCTTTTTTAAAAATAAAAATATGGAACGCTTCATGATTTGTACGTCATCTTTGTGCAGGAGCCATGCTAATCTTCTCTGTATCGTTTCAGTTTTAGTATATGTTCAGCTGAAGCGAGCACTCTACCGTTTCTAATGTTTTTGCTTCATTTTTACTAATTTTTGTTCTTATTACAAATGAAAAATTATGTAGCGGCCAAATATCTCGGTGGATTAAAGCAGCACCTGCAAGCAGACCCAAGGGCCGAGTGACCCCCACTTGGGGCATGCTGAGACAATTGAGATTGGGCATGGTGGCGAGTGCCAGTAATCCCAGTTATTGGGAAGCTGTAAACAGGCGCATCACTACAAGTCTGATCTAGTAGTGAGACCCTGAACACCCTGTAGACTCTTCCATAAAGTACAAAAAAAATTATGATAAAATATTTATACATTAAGATACGTATTTTCTAAGAACAACTCTGTAACATCTAAGACTTTGCTTTATACATATTATTATAAAATACAACAGAACAATAATTCTACTTTATAGTGATGACATCCTGAAGACTGAAAAAGACCATAAATAAAGAACATAGTAACATGTCAAGAATATAGTACACTGAAAGTTATGTAGGTTCCTGATATCACTATTATGTCTAACCCACTACCACAATCCCATTTCATAGGGATTTTACTTTAGATGTCTTTAAATCTAGTAGAGTGGCTTAAACAGCTGTTGAGTTTGTTTCTATGTGTGAATCAGATGGGAAGAGCTGAGTGGGTTGAAGTAAGTTGGGACTGGCTTCACTTTGCAAGTCTGGGCACCCTCCCTCTCTGGGGTGATGTCAGGAGTACCAAAATCTCAAGAATACACCCCTGCGATAGTGCTTCCAACAGCTAAAGACAAGGCCCCATTTTGAAAACAAATAATAATAAAGCTTTTACTTTGATTCCATCTGCTAGTACATATTGTTCAAAGCATATTTATGGTCTCAAATACGTACTTTTTCTGATATATTTGTCATGTTTCCAAAAATAATATCAAGGGAAGGTGAAGGTGAACTTAGACAAATGTAAATGATAATGTAATTTACCGGCATTTATAAATGTTTCCAAGAAACAATATAAGGTGAATAAAATAGAAATGAAAGGCTCTGGGACTGGGAGTATTGGATCTTTAAGCCATAGAGTCACTCAAGAGTTGTAAGAAGGACCAAAGTTGAAAAAGTGAGTGAACCATCCAAGGCTGCTTGACCTGGTCAGTATCTGGAGAAAAGTTTGACAGAAAGTGCATTACTATTTTAGACACTTAAAAATGTTAGAATTTTGCTTTTTTTATCTGGGATGAATTTGTAGTGGTTTAGGGGAGAACTATATGAAAAATAGATGATGGAAAATTTATCACGAAGAAAGTATGAAGATACTTTGATGTACTTGTATTCACTAAATGTAAATGTAACATTTATTATAATTCTTATCATTTAGAACTGTATATAATTGGAAGTTATAACAGCTTATAGTTTGAAAGGATTGTCATAGGTAATGAGGGCTTTTATTCCTGAAGTAAATATTCTCAAGTATTTTGACAGGAATATAGTATTCACTATGCCTGCATACTCTTTGAATATGTAAACCTATATATTTTTACAGTTTTATTGAGTTCTGTATTAGGCTAAATGTTACCTTTATTGACCAAACTTAATATACAGTTTAATAGAATCTTGCAGAAGAAAATATGTATGCTTATTATCATGTTTGTTTGTGTATTATTATACAATTTTTCTAAATCATGCTTATCACCACAAAACAACTTGTGTAATTTAATTATGCACAAAGGTTTTGTAATGAATATTTTATTTACATTTATTTTTCAAATCTGCAATTATGCTTTTGTTTATATTTAAAAATATGTACTGAATCTGATTATATAGCCTATTTCATTTGAAACCTAAGGTTCTGAAACATATCAGTGTTTGTCTTCTCTTATATATTGTGACATAAAAAAGTACATGTTAATCTAACGAAATATTTGAATCTCTACAAATTTTATAATGGCTTTTCTATTTCTTGGTAGCCATCATCTTTGTCCATTTAGAATAATTAAAAGTTAGTTTCTCAAGTTTATATCACTGAATATATACACGTATGAAGGCGAGAGTTCTCAAGTGACTTAATGATACCATGTAAGTATTTAGAAAACCAACAAGCTGGGTCTGGAGAGATGGCTCAGTGGTCTAAAGCACCTACTTAGAACAAGCTTAGCAAAGCACAGGGAC